ATTTGTTTTTAATAGGAAAGTTTATTACTTTATTACTGAAAATGGTTCTAGCCTACCAGCTAGAAACTGTTCATCACTAAGACTGATAAGGCAGGAATTGGCATTTCCTCTTTCACAGTCTACAAACCAGAGAGTTTCATGTTGTTATATGCCTACAAGATTTATTTGACAATCTAGAAATACACAAGGTTTCCACCAGTAAAAGCACAGGAATTTTCTCAGTGGTCACTGCCATTGCTTACATTTTGAACAAAAAAATCCCATGTAGTATTGCATATGAATAAACAAACTTTGGTTCTCTTTCTACCTGGAGAGCTCCTAAGGTCCAATCTCTGACTTGTTAAACAATGGCTTGCAGAGGACAACAAGGCAGCTGGAGGCCACACTGAATGCTACATTCTGGAAAGCTTGGGACACTGTAGAACTTAATAAGTTTTTTGAAGGCACTTTTTTTGAACATCATCACCTCTTCAGGCAGTCTGGAAAGAATTCTGGCATTTGTGTGAGACTCTTTCTTGTCAGCAGTCGCTGCTTTGGAGCTACATTGCTCAAGACTACCAGTCACTGGCACACTGTTGCAGCTAAGGGAACGTGCTGTCTTTTTCTTGCCTTGAACAGACAAATAACTAAATAAAAAAGAGGATAACTTGTGTTTGGTAACATCTTGAACATCTTCTGGAAAACAGTCATCTAGAGGCTCCCCTTGACCTTTCACTTGTTGACTAATCACGCACGTACTGGGACTCACCAACTTCTTAGGCTGAACTACTATTTTACTAGAAGGCATTTTGTATTTCCCTCCATCTAGATAAAGCTGGGAGGCATTACTAACAGCATCAGAACTAGGCTTCACTATCGTATTAGGGAGCCTTGCCCCATCACCAGGATTGATGCAGTGCAACCCATAATTCTGGCTAACGATCTGGGCTGCAGTGTGTTGAATGATGTTCCAGTCCTGCAGAATGTCTTCCCTGGTTGTGAACTGAGACGTTACAGTAAAGCGAATGATGAACTTGTCACGAATGGTTGCTGGAATAAGGAAGAGCCTGCCAGAATTACTTAGTTCTTTCAGGAGTTTTTCTGTCAGGCAGTTGGAACCCTGTTTTAAATATGAATAACAAAAAAAAACAAATGCTATAGTTAGAATTTCCAGTGATATCCAAACATCTCCATAATGGCAGCATTACAAATTCTTGCATTAAAGTTTATTCACAGTTCGTAATGCCTGGGGAGAGATCAGCTGTGGTCAAGTCATTCCAAAGAGACACACTGAAGGCCCAGTCTTTACCTTTAGACGAAATACAACCAGTCCAAGATGTCTCTTGGCAGGAATTTCAAAGAGTGGATCACTTTTAACCAGGGATTCAAAGAATTTGGCTATTTCGGTACCCTGTAATTAAGGAAAAAAAGTAGTTATGTATTTGTCACAAACCCACTGTAAGACACTAAATTAAGTAGTTAAAAATAATTTATTTCCATACTAAAAGGTATCATTCCAATGCATGAGTGGCAGCAAACAGGAACGGCAACAAAATTAAGTATTTTAAAGTCTGTCTCTATTTGCCCAAACACTACATTCAACAAGAGTAACTAGACTATACACAGGAATTTTCCAGAAGGTTTGAAAATGGAATGTTCCTTCTCAAATTACAGTCCTTCTGTAGCAACCACTGATCCACAGTACGATCCTCTCTCCATCAAAGACTTTGGCCTGTAAATTCGGATAGCAATGGGTCCAGCCGTCCATCACAGCCCACCTCCCTAACAGCTGCCACTCTGCCTCGAAGAAAGCTTCTACAGGTTGGCAGTACTCAGTCATGTGCAGAAGGCATCGACTTACCAGGTCACTTGCCTTTTCCTATTGCTTCCAAGAAGGCTACAGGAAATGTTTTGTCTACAGAATCAATCTTTAACGATTACTTAAGAGTAAAATCAGCATTCGTTTAGTGTTCACGTGCAAGCTTTGTGCATGAGAGGATGGCTGTTACTCGTCCTTGCATCACTGGATTTATTAAACTCAGCTACCAATAAATCGATATAATACATTTACGCTTGCATTGCTAATTCACATACATGTCGGACATGAGCTTGAAGCTTTTTCACCCCAAATGAACGAATCACAAACCACAGCTTCAAAGAGCGGAATCGACGACTCAGTGGAATTTGCCAGTGCTGTGAAAACACAACAGTGTATCAGTGAGTGAAAAAAAAAACAAACAACAAAACAGAAAGGAGTGTCCCCTTAGGCTGCTATGGCTGCTGCTTCAGACTCAAGAGATCTGTTTGGATAAATTGTTTTGTATTTCTGAAAATCTGTTAAACCTAGGAAACAGCCAACGAAATGCTACGCCTACTTATTTTCCAATTCTTTGCAAAAATAATTTGGCTATTAGGCTTCATCCACGGCCTAGGCATGCTTAGATTTTTTTAGTTAATTACCAGCTAATAACAGCACCTATTTTACATCTAAGGAGAATTATCGATTCAGGAAGTATCCATGTACACTTTAGGACTGCATGCTCACTTCAGTTCCTGTAATCTGCATATTTAAGGCCCTTCCTGAATATCTTCCCGAATCAACTCTGAACAGTGAGAGCTGATACAAAGGCAGACCCTTCCAGAGGAAGTAACACCTGCTGCATGGAGAAGAGTGACAAAACCTGTGCAGGAGTACTTCCAAGGAGCTACACAACTACATGCAGGGTCCTATTTAACCACAAGAGGGACTCATTGATACATTTTTTCCCCTTCCCTCCTTACATTCAACGCTCTAGTGAAAAGCACTATTGATTTCAAGAAAACAATTATCTTTTCAGGACTAGGGTGAGATCATAGCAGAAGCAATTGGCTGTGAATATTCTTTTGTTTTACTGTACTGAAATCTGCTGTAAAATGGATCTAAAGGGAAAGGGCTCTTGGATTTTAGGAATACCTTAATCTGGAGAGAAGTAAAATTTATTCTACTGCTGTTTCAGAGCATGGCGTTTCTATTGCTACTCTTTTCTCTCTTTTATTACATTCAGAGATACAAGAAAACCAGCCAAAAAGCCACCAGTAGGAATTACTTCAGCAACACAATGCACAGAAACGACCCTTCTAACTAAGAAGTCAAGGGTGGATCCCTATCTGTATAAAAATCTTAAATACTTCAAATCTCTATTTCTGAAAGCAATTTTATCATTAATTTTCATAACCAAGGCTCACTTCAAAGTTTTATTATTTAATCTGCATTAGAATCTCAGTATACTTGGTGTTACGCTTTTATGTAATAAGACAGCTATGAGATAAGCACACTCCAGAGTGTGAGGAACTTCGCAGTCTGTCTGAACATTTACAGGCAATTTAAAATATCAGCTCAAACAACTTACCATGAAATCAACAGCAGCTCCTGAGTTGGGATGCCTGAGGTAGACAGGGTTAACACTGAAGGTTTGATGTAACTTGTATTTATCCTGAACCCTATCAATTGTAGAATGAACTGTATTTAGCAAAAAAAAAAAATATGTAGAGAAAGACTTTGCAGTCTGCATTTTATCCTTTTGGCATTGTTTGTGTTTTGTCTTTACTCACCAAAATCCAGTGCAGTCAAAATGAACCATCATCCATTTAGAAGGGTTAAACGTAAAGGAATCTGCATATTCAATTCCATCCAAGAACAATCGAAACTCGGGACATACAAATGCTGTTCCTGCATATGCAGCATCAATGTGAAGCCAGAGTCCCTCAGCATCACCTGTTGGAATTGAAATTGTTGTTATGTCAGGGACAGAAGGAATCAAAGCACATACTTAATCTCTCCTCTCTGAAAACTAAATGTGTGTTTTTGCAGGAGGCAGAGAGGCTGACAACAAAAAAGCAAAAAAGACAAACAACTGATAGTTCTATTTTTATCCTATAGCTATGGATCCAGAAGCCCAAAATACAGGATAACTCTGAAATCAGATGGACATTATAACAAAATTGACCATTCCACATTTCATATGAGTGAGGTTTGTGAATGTTAGATTTCTCCCACTTGCCTTTTTAGCAAGCGAAATTCCCTGGTACAAGTCAGTTGCACAAAGCCAAGATAAAGACACGGTGGCAAGCAAAAAGGATCCAGAGATAGAAGACACACTCTGATCCATAAGAGAAAGCATCACAAGTCTTGAGCAGCTACTTGCTCGAATTTATGCTGGAATAGGATCTGCAACCATGTTAAATTTACCTATTGAACTGGTGGCTATGAAGAATGTCTTACCAAACACTACCTTCAAAACTCCTTTGCTAGGTTGAATATTTATGTATCCATCCTACAACAGTACTGCACTCTCTCCTGTACAGTCTGTGTTCCCCAAATAACCACATTAAAGATTTATCAGTTGGCAAATTTAATCCATCTTGAATAGAATGTATTTTAGCATCCTAATCTAAATGTTATAGAAAGCACTGCAAAGTCTTGTGCTGACTCTGTCAATCTTTGAGACATTTTGAGACATGTTGGTAAAAGTCAGGTCATTAGTGTTTTCACTCTCCTCAGTTTTGGCACAAAAAATTCTCATACTATCTTTCCGGTGCTATCATAATTTAAAATCAGGAAAAAAAAACACCACCACACTTACAAATCGGACCCAGTTCTGAGAGATTGTCAAAAGCACAGACACCAGTTGTACCCAAAGTTGCACAAACCTAGAATAAAACAAACCTGTTAAGAAGCAATTTTTTTTAAAGAAGTGGATGCAGCACCTTGGAGGTGTAAAGGCTAACACAGACAGCTGAAATACTTCTTGTTCAATAAACTGGAAATTCTTGTATACTTTTTGATATTCAGCTAATGTATTTTAACACAATTTAACACAAGAAACATTTCAGATGTAATTTTATATTGACATTAAGAATACAACACTTATATCAGTACCCCCAACCAGAAAGTTGAACATACAAAGACTGGCACTAGGCCTTTCTTTCTGTCTTCTGCAATGGCTTTCTTCAGAGTTTCACCTCTGAGGGAAAAGTTCTCATCCACAGTCAGAAACTTCATCTTCACAAGAGAAATCAAGCCAGCCTTTTCAACAGAAGAATGTGCCTTAAAAAAAAAAAAAAAAGGTAAGTAAGAAAAAGTAAGAAAGCGAACTCTGAGGTAAACTACAGCCTTTTAAGAGGTTGCAAGAAAAACAACTATAAGGTCTTTTTTACAATCCACATTAATACAAGTCTGAAAGTTTCTTCTCTGTAACTAAAATAATGCACTGTAACTCCAAGGAATGCTCCATTTATTTGGATACTGGTCTCTAAAAGGTAGTAATAGGCATCATCACCTTGTGTTTGGAGATCCATTTATCATAACTCAGACCTTAAAGGAGCATCTAGAAATGGATCAACCTCAGCTTACTCCCTCCTTCCTGCCATGAGATAAAAATACCTGAAGTGTGAAGTGTTCTGGGTAGACCAAAACCCCCTCGCAACAAAAAGCCCTTTTAGTTACATTAAGAAAGAACCAGCACAAGTCTCTCTCCTGCTGCAGTTTTCACAGGGGAATAGCTCAACAGCCCAAGGACAGAACAGGTTTGCAGGCAGAGTCACAGTACTATGCAGATGCTTCCTCCAAGCACAAGCACAGAAGCCTAGAGCAGAGACCACAACCAGGAGCAACAGAGGTAATGCCCACATGCCTGCCTCAGTGGAAGGAGGCTGTGAAGAAAAACAAAGGCTGAAGGACTTGAAAACTGCTGGCATCCTACAAAACCTCATCTCACGCTGGTTTTGTTTCCCCATCTGCAGAAAGAAACACTAGAGGGATTTGCTCATGCTTGAGAGGCATTCATGTTTGTTTTGTTCTCTTCATATAGAAATGTGAGTTCACATTGTATAGTCTGGGTGAGACAGCACAAGTGAATTTGTTTCCTTTGTAACCATAAGAACCTACCTGATCAGATGCATAAGCAATGAGGCGAGAATTGAGTGAGGACTCATCAGTGTCTGGCTCAGAAAGCTTCATCTCCAGAATTTTGTTTTTCCTTGCAGCTAGTAGTGCAACCAAGGTTGCTTCACTCACAGTGCTCTGCAAAGACATGCTCATTTACTGCAACATATTGCTACTCTATTGCTATTTCATCAGGGTTTTACTGAAGCCATTGAAATGCTCAGCTGCCCATCCCCTCTTTTATTTCTACTATGACTTTCCGGGATGCAGTGGAAAGTCACCAGCTATGGACCAGCAACACAACACAAAGCCTTTTAACTGCTGTATATCTTTAACACGCAGGACTGAGTTGAGGGAAGCAAACAAATCAGATTTTCCTTTTGTTCTACTACAGCTATAATGTAGTATCTCCCACAACAACTACAAACCTGAGCAAAATTCCTTGTAACAACAGAGAGCCTCAGCACTGACTACAGAGGATACTTGCTTAGGCCTTATGAAGGGAAGCAAAGGTCCAGGCCTTGATCTTGCAACTCTCAGAGATAGAAAGTAGACATGAGAAAAAGAAAAAATAATTTGAGTGGCCGAGGATAACTGGCAGAAAGACAGGGACAAGGATTCCTTTGCTAATTATGTAAACATTACTTTAGTGAATAATTTGGTCATGTGAAACAGACTGAAGAAACCAAATCTGATTCTCATTTGTCCTAGTAAGGCCACAAGAGTACCTGCTCCTTATTCATAACACAAAGAGGACTAAAAGCAATAGCAATTCCTCTTCTATAATCTTCTACATTTAAAACTAAAATTTAGGAAAGTAATGTCAAATTGGGATTTATGTCTATCCAAACACATAGATCAAATCTTGTTGGATTTGCCTCCAGGAAAACTGCTACTGAACATGGAAAGTCACTTGAGTGAAAACAAAATGTTGATGAGCTCACATTTGATCTCCCCTACCTGTAATACTCCTCCACCCACACTGTCAGGATGGTGGTGTAGGAATTTGTCTGGGAGGCCCAGCATTTTAGCCAACCAATCCATCACATTCATTTCCAGTTCTGTACAGGCTGGACTGGAGGCCTAGAAAAATAAAAGAGAGACTGAGACTGTAATTCACTCTGCAAACCCAATATGAGCACAACCCTTAATGTAAACTACATATCACATTTTAATTAATAGCTATTAACACTTTTTAATTGCTTAACTGTAGCTGCTGCAGGAGGTTACAAAATACTCAGATCATCTGGGACAGGCCACCGAGCAATTATTTTCAGAAGAGGAAAAATAGGAAATTTGTTCTCCCAAAAGAGCAGGAGAACTGGAACAGAGCCCAGCCCAGCCTGCCGTCATGGACGGTGGCTCTCTTCTGCCTGCAGTGCTTGTGTAACAGTCTTGGCCCTGAAACTAGACAACAGGGAAAAATGCTCACAGTAGGATACATGAAGAATTAGAAAACAGACATTTCTAGAGGTGTGTTTTCTTCATTCACCTCTTACTACTAGGTAATGTTTGCTCTTATATGTTGTTTTTTCTTCAAGTGACAGTTTTCATTTATGCAAAGAAGACAATTGGTTAAAGAGAATAATTATGCTGACTCACAGAACAAGAAAAAACTATTACCTGCTCCTGCATAATATACACAGGAGATGAATATCTAAAATAAGAACAAAATGAAAAAATTACCCATGTGAATCCCAAGCAGTTAATTGCATCGGCCAACATATCTCCAAGGAGTGAAGGCCAGGAAGTAAGAGCTGGAAAGTAGGCGTGCATGTGTGGACTTTGCCAGTGGACTACCTAAAACAAAAATTTCTAGAAGTTAGCTCTGAAAACACCACAAATTTCTGCGCAAGATCTTGTGATTAGCATCTGTTTAAAGCAACAGAAATGGATCACAGCAACGTAACATGCAATTCTAGATCTGTTAGCAGAAAGCTCTGGAGATGATATCAACAGGAGTGCAGCACTCGCAAACGATAACACTGTGCCGTTATTAGATAAATTCCAAATTATAGCAAAAGCATTTATCTGAATTAAACAGGCAGACAAAGATTCTGAACAGGAAAGAATGGTCCTTTGAACACTGCACAACAGAGTCAGAAATATTTATCAAAATATTTATCTTTATAAGGGGAATCCTTGCAACAAAGTTGCTCTTGTTCATTTTGTCAGACCACAGCTTGCCTCTGGCTCCACACTGCAAGTTACAATTATATAGCCCCCCTCTTTACACCTGAAGGAGATGGTACATGGGACACCAGCATAAGCACGTTTCATGTGAATACCTCACCCTCATCAGATCAACTTTCTGCAAACATCTATAAAGAAAATTTTAAAAGACTTTGAAACAGTGTCTTACATAAAACTTTTCATTAGGTAATATGAACTCCCTTAGCAGAATCTGCAGTGTTCGTGTGCGAGAGGAAGGACACCTTTACATTCACAGGCAGAGGCCCTGTAAAGCTAAATTCACCAGGGTCAGGAAGCCAAAGGCTTCCCTCTAAGCAAACATGAGTTATTCTTAATATATAAAATACTTCAAAAAAACCATTCAGTCTATCCCCTAAAACTGTAGTTAGGAATACAATAGTAATCTGCAGAATCCTTCTGTGGACATAATGCCTGCAATATTTATTCTACATTTGGGTTCTGCAGAACATGTGCATTCGTAGGATTCAGTGTTCACCTCAGGTAGTAACATTTTTTTCTTGTAATGATTATGCTTCACTTCTTACCCCAGGCATAATAATCTTCTCTATATCTCCAAAGATGTCGTCCCAGCTGTCTGGGTCCATTGGGGCAGAATCTGGCAACTGGGTTCTCATGTAACCTGGCTGTACATCAGGAGTCACCCGTCTCTCTCTCACACTGCTCAGGTACTGGCAAATGTAATCCACCATCTCTTACGGTGCTTTGAGTTTCAACTGGGAAATCTAACTAGTAGCACTTCACACAATCTGTCGCTAGCATTGGACAAGGCTTCGAATACTGCTCCCAGGATAGACACAGGAACTAACCTTCCTCCTATACCCTGCTTGTCCAATCTAATGATGTAGGGACATGGCTTCTAGAACTGGCTTCATCTGGACAGAACAGATACACAGGGCTGTTTCAGTGTCACCAATGAGTAGTCCAAAGACAATTCCCTGTCATTATAGCTTATTCCCTTTTGCACCCTCTGAAAACAGCTGCACAGCTCCACACCTTTTCTCCACTTTTTAGGGAATCTCCTCCATCCCTGGGACCAAAGTTTGCTACCCATCTCCAGAACTGTGCCAGTATCACTAAAGTTTCATGGCAGCAGCCAGGGGAGAGCCACTGTGCTTAACTTCTTAGGCAAAAGTTTATTCAGAATCACAGTCTTGCAGCTTTCCCACGTTATTTTCAACCTAAGACCAGAAAGCCCATGTCACCCACTGCCTCTAAATCCGTTAATTTAAAATCAGAACTGGGACATGTTTTTGTCTCAGTCTCAGCAGATCTAAGCCACAAGAACATGTGTGCAAATAGAGAATATAGCCCACTGTAATTTTGGGTACCACTCTCAGCCCTACGACAGTTAATCTCCACACGCAAATGCTACCTGTTTCCAAGAGCAGAGGATCACTCACCTCTCCGTCTGTACTCCTCAGGGTCCATACTGACTCCTTCTAAAAGCACCTCTTCAAACCTGGGCCACGACCTTTCAGGAGCTGTGGGCAGTTTGGTCTGATGCCCTGCTAGCTGCTTCACCCTTTATAGCTCCCTTTATCTCCCAGACTCACGCATTCTGGAAAAGGTTTAACGTAGGCAGGTTATTGGTGAGTGTTCATCTGGCTCCTCCCAAGTGAGGGCTTTCTCATACGTTCTCATCTGTGCTCTTTTGATGCGTAAGGTAGTAGTATATTGCTAAGAGGAGCTGCCTCTGCACTAACCCTTTTCCATTTTGCAACAATCTTTCGGAAGTCTCACAGTAATCCATGTCAGGAATATAGAACATATTAACATCGTCGGAGAGAAAAAGCTAAAGAGCTTCCAAAATCAAACAAAAGCAGACATGTTAATCTAGCACACTGAACTACTGCACTAGCAGCAGTCATTAAAAGAAAGCACCAGCACAGAAATTTGGCATTGACAAGAGGTTTTTTCCTTTTCTTTTTTTCCTTGAAGAATTGTAGGACTGTTTTCCCAAGGAGAGTACGCCTGCATCCCCACAAGTCTTCAGTCCCTATGTTGTCAGTCCCTTGCTGCCTGAAGGACAGGTGATAGTTATCGCCTGTTCCAAAACTGCAATACAAAGCAACAAAGATCCTCTTTGTGGATTTCCTGCCCTTCCAGACCAGCCCAGGTCATGTTCCTCCACTGATACCACCCGAGACTGCTGAGCTGCAAAAATGCATCTTTCTCCCTGTACTATGCTTGCTTTTCTCCCAAATTATATGTACAAGCACTGGGGTTTGGCCTTGCATCTCCAGAATTCCTCCAAGCCCTCAACCTGGATTGTTCTCAGTTTGGAAGAACAACCGTGTAGATTCCCCCTGGTTCCAATTTTAGGACCTGAGAACACCTTCTGACCTGTCTCTGGCAGCATGACCTTTGACACTGTACTCAATGTTGAGTACTTATCTTCACCAGAAGGAACTCACTTACTCTACACAGATATCAGGCTCCCCTGGAAAAGAGGGAGGCAGGACTTGTGGACTAAGCACCAGAAAGCAAAATTGTTCCATAGTACAATATCTGCTTGCCCTGGTTTTGCTGTACCTGAGGCTCCTGCTTAGGGCTGGCCCTGCTGGAGATGGGATACCAGGCTAGGTAGGCGGACCCTTCATCTGATATGTGACAGCAGCATCTCTGTTCTCACCACACAGAAGAGAACTGACTGTCAGAGCAGCTTTGCTTTTCTCCCTCATGCACCGTAATGCAGCCTAAATGATTTCATTATTCTAGAAAGTTGTTGCATCTTTTTCCACAGCGTACTTTCTACAGAACAGTGTGAAAGCCCCTCCCAGCTTCTGTTGCGATTAGATATTTGAGAAAGCTGTTTCACAGATAGGACAAAGATGCTCTGATACATGTACATCAGATTACTATACTGAAATAAAATAAGAACCTATTAAAAAGGCACTGAAAGAAGTCAAAGCAGTGCAGAAAAAAACATGTTCTATACATATTCAACTGCTTTGTCTGACATTTCTCTGAAAACATTATGAAAAAAAAATAGCAACCTGCCAACATAATTCTATCAATTTATGAACCTCTCTTGGCTTCACTGTAAAAGCTACCATAGAGGGGAACACAGGCAGTGAGAAGGCATCGAGCACAGGACCAACTCAAAGAGCTCAGAGCTCTCAAAAACTGTAATTCTAACTCATTACAAATAACTAAAACATCACTTCAATACACAGATGTCAGTTCAAAGAAAGCTGGTAGCTAATTACATTTATGATTTCAATTTGGAACAGCAAATAAGCAATACTTCTAATAATGTTTTCAGAGCTGGACTACACAATAAATGTTCCATATGACATATATACCCTTATGCCTTTGCTCAAAGGTAATGGTTTCATCAGGCTGTTTCTCATTCCGTGCAAAAGAGAACAAACAGCAGGTCCTGTGCGGAACTAGGATAAAACAGGCGATAATGAATTACAGGTAGGGTAAATACTGCTGGTGATAAATAAATTTTTGTTATAGCCACCTCACACTTGGAAGGATTTTGTCACAGACAATGAGGAACAGAGTATTTGCTCACAGGAAGCAGAATGAATAGAAAAGGTTCTTTTCATTGTTTGCTACAAAGGTCTGTGCCGTCAAAACCGTGGGAAATGCTCCATTTGGCGGTGAACACGACCACTATCACCACTCAGGCTAAGGCTGAAATTCTTATCATTACTCACAGTTCACAGAGATTAAATTGTACTTAAGTCTGTGGGATGGGAGGACACAAACATCATTTTGGTCATGGAATTATTCAGTTGGAACAGTGCCTAACCAGCACGTTTAACTTGACTAACTGGTTCCCGCATTAGCTACTGACATAATGGACAGTTTTGGAAAAAAAGTCTAAAATATAGCAAGTTCCAGTTAGTCACTGCACAAGACTTGCTTCAAGTGCTAGTGCCAGCTGAGCACGATTATATCCTTGAAAATAATTTTTAAAAGCACCACCACAGATTTTCCATTTTTTAAATATCTTTTGATTATTTGGGGGTCAAATTTGCCATTGGGGATCAAATTTGCCCAATATACACCAATACTAGGATGTTTAGGATTTCCCCTTAACTGTGAATTCTATGAACTCAAGCCAAAGTTTGAAAAAGGAAAATACTACTTTGTATTATATAATGCAATTCTTCTCTCATTCCTCCCCCTCCTACCTTTGAAGGCCATTCTAAGCCTAAAACTGTTTTTTTTTTCATGTTTTCCTGAAAGTCTAACACAGCAGAGCTTTGACGTTATAACGCGTATATAAAACAATTCAAATGGAATTGATTCTACGCTATAGGTATGTGGAAAAGATATTTAATTGTAAAATAGAAAAAGTAGGCCAGAGTACAGTTTTAAGGGTAATTCTTCTGTGTACAGTATAGGTAAACTAGACTTTTTGCTTAAGTTTATATAAACAATTCCATAAAAGCAGTGAAACATGGAACAACAAAGCAAAGCACAAAGTTTTATCTTACAAAAAAAAGGAATCTGCACAGTAGTTCAAAATTTAATGTAACACAGCATTGAACAATCTTAAGGCAGCTCAGTCTAAGCACAGGACCAGAAGCCAAGAACTCCTGAGACCTACGCCCAGGTTTACCACAGATGGACGTGGTCTCGGGCCAGTCGTTTAACGCTCCCTGTGTTGTACTTACACCAGTTATAAAACTGAGACATTGACGCTCACTCACCTGCCTCAGGCAGTACAGTAAGGGTTCTTTAAAAGATTTTACAATGCTCTGAAGATGTAACGTGCTATATAAATCCTACTCAGATCACTGCACAGACACACACAAACACAGTATCACAGTGAAGAATGATGATGCTGGGTAAGAAGAGCATCACTACAACATAAAAAAAATTACTTGTCCAATTGCATAATTAAAATGCAAAAGTCCGTTCGAAAAAAAAAGTATCGCTGAAATAATTTCAAGGCTACTGGGGAAAAGAGATCAATAGGAAAATTCTAAAAGAACTACTATTTGTGTTCCAGTGGAGACATTCTTTCCTATTCATTACTGAACTTTAAAATGTTTGTACAGGAAAACCGTAAGACACACAAAGTGAAGTTTCAATGCCTCCACTACCAAATCTTAAATTGCCTGTAATATGTAAATTAAGATTTTTTTTGTTCTTTTTTTTTGTTGTTGTTGTTCTTTTTAATTACATTACATTCCTCCAAGAAATATACCATCCACAATAAAACTGGCTGCTAGCTTACGTCAAATGACCTAAAGGCTAAACATTTTTTTTCATAATTTTTCTCATCTTTGCTGAAAAATACTTTTGCAAGATGTATGTGTAGAAATTATAAAAACATGCAGCATATGTACAAACTGAAAAGTTTAAAAAATATTAGCTTCATATACATGTAAATCTACTTGGATATATCTGAAATTAAATATAAAAATTTCACCAGCTGAAATAAAAAAAATAACCAAAAATGGTTTTCAGAGAATCTGAGACAACTACTTAAAGCTGTACAAAGATTTCCACCTGGAAATGTCTTATTCAGAGAAGTTTAAGTTGTTTACCATGTAGAAATAACTGTTAATTAATTTTGTCACATAATTAATTTTCAAGTTGTTGGCTTAAATCAACAACATCACCCTTAAAACTGTTCTGTTTTTCAGAAGTTAGATTCATACTAAAATCAAAATTTTCACAAAAACATTGGCTTCGCCTGTTTCTGGATCCCTTCAAAAAGATTTATCAACTCATTTTGAAACTGTAAAAAAAACAACTATTTACAGTATTTCATTTTAAATACTTTTCACAATTTCTAAATTCAGAGATTTTATGTTACAAGAAATTCATCAGAGCTCACGGTTTAAGTCCAGTTATCAACTTGTAGCATCTTCTCTATTAGGTAATCCTGTGTCTGTACCTATATAGCGTACAGTTCAAGATTGTACTGCAGGTTTTTGAAAGTTAACAGGCTTTGCAGTAGGTTCATTTTTTATTAAACAGCTTCCTTATTAGTCTGGAGGCGGTTCATGGCCTCTAGCTTCTGCCGATAGGCCTCTGCTTCTTGTTCTTTCTTTAGAAGCTGCTGACGATATTTTTGTGCTTCTCTGTTTGCCTCATCCAGCTGTTTCTGAAGAGTTTCTCTTTCCTATTAGAAACAGAACCAGCAATATTTTGTCAAATATACATCAAAAGCAAGCTAAAATGGCAAGTACTTTTCCTTTACATGCAGCTTAAGCGTTAGGATATCACATAGGAACTTCAGTTCCTACTTGGGCAAACCTATATGAATGCTGCGGTGTAAACTAGACACAAACTATCCCACCAGGCAACTCCCACAATGAGGCTCAAAGGGTAAACACAGTAAACCCAAGCTTCTTTAATGGCAAAGATACCAAGCAAGTCTTCATGGAAAAAGAGTGAAATAAAAATGTGGAAGCATGGTGATCAAATACTAACATAACATGTGAACATTTCTCCACTGATTCAGTTCCCGTTGTTACTTTCCAGAACTCAGGACTAACCCTTTCTGTTGTATTTCTAATCAGACAGTCATAGGAAGAACTGTTACCTAACAGCAGTTTGCACTGAAAGTGACAGCTGCCCACTAATCAAAATAAGGTGTTTCTAAGTCAAGTGGTCTGAAACGATTGATACTATGCACTGCAGACAGAAAATTACATCTGGAAGGACACTACATTTTTATGAATTAACAGTGATTTACCTAGATAAGCTTTTTCCGTTCAGAAGGAGTAACTTATGGCTCCATCCTACATACAAGTTTGTTGGGTATAGCTATAAAAAGGTTTCTAAGCAAAGTAATATGGGAAATGCCACTTCCTATGAAGCCGCCTTAGGAACTAAGGAGAGATGTTTCTATCTGCAGTGACGCAGATACTGCCATTTTGTTTGAAGTTGCACTGAGGCAAATTGAAGAAACAATTTGCTTGGAAAAGTAGTTTTGTTTTATCTTCAACCAAATACCATTTCATTACAGTGCATCATACTTCTAAGAATAAGGCAGTATTTGATTTTAAATCATTCTTTCCACTGTAGTTGTTAAATAGCCACAGGAGGGAGGTTGTCAGAGAAATGAGCTATCTCCCAGAAAAATAGAATTCTGATCAAAACCTGATGTCCCATGAAAATAAGTGGCCTTTTCACCTTATTCCCATCCCCACAGTTCTGTATACATTCCCATTTAATACCTCAAGCAGTAGTTAGAACCTTCTCCCCCCACACCCCCATTAACAGCATCCCTATTCTTCACCTCTTTGATGCACTCACATATTTTCACAGTCAGAGCCTGAAAATACAAAATACTTTGCCTCCCTTCTACTTGCTACTGTTCTCAGTACTTGTCACAGTCACATTTAGCAGTCACACGCTGTGCTGAATGTGCTGGAACATAAGGACATAGGTGATCAGATCATTGCTAACAGGAGCATCTGTATAGCAAAAACAACAGGTGAAGCAGAGATGTTATGAGGGTTACAGGTTACAAAGACCAGCTACAACACAGAACAGAGCAAATGCCAGTAAGTGCAACTTGATGTTTACACAGGGCTTTAAGAATTGAAGGAAACTGGCTACGGTTTGCTTCTTTTGGAGCTTATGCTAATCAAATGAGAGCTCATCTGCTCTTACTTACTTATTTGAAAAGGAACTTCAAATTCCACTTCAGAAAATTTGGGCTCAGCTTTTTAAGCAAGTGTATGAATGGCCAACCCATGTAGCAACTAGACTGACACTTGCCACAAGAACAGCAGAGCCTACATCTCAAAGGCTGCCCAATCCATCAAAGGCTTTCCAGCACCAGCGCAACCAAAGCATACCGTTAGTTCTGTAAGTTATCTATCTAGCATAAGGGGAACCAACAGGTTATGTAGAACAGCCTCATGGAGTATAAGGCTGGTGAAAAGAGCTACAAGACAATTCTCAGGGGAGCAGGCAAAACAGTTGATCCTGCTACGTGTGGAATGCAACCTTACCCTCTTGAGGGCACTAAGCTCTGGGATATACTGAGCTGGACATTATCTATCTCATGACAGTCACATACAAGAACATCAGAAATCTAATACTAACAAGCAGCAAAGCTGCACTGTCTACTGGGCTGCAGAAAAAGAACCACTGGTAGCTCATTGCCCAGTGCCTTACAAAAAGCAAGGTGCAATCACTACTATGGAGTGTGTGTAGACTGCAAACACTCGGGGGTGGAGAGGTTCTCAGACCACATCTTGTAAGTATTTCCCACAGAACCATAACAGCTGTGTACCCGTGAGGACTACAGCACACTAAGGAAAGGATAGAAAAAAAACCCTAGAAAAAACAAAGCCCCAAGTCTCAGTGGCAAGAGACTGGAAGACAAAGCCAGTATCTACCATACAGACTTGCAAGTCAAAGCATGAAGGTTACTTCAGCAGCTAGTAGGTGTAGGTTTTAGACAGTCATAGTCCTAATGTAAACAGAATGAGTTAAGGAACTGAGGCCAAGTACACTTGCAAACTAGGCAGTAGAAAGAAACCAATGCTTCTGGAGGAGCAATGTAGACCTACAGTGGGCAGAGCAGTGAAAATCTGTGCCTGAAACTTGGCATCTGAAACAGAGGATTATATCTGGTCTGTTAATTTAATCAACTCCAGAAAGTGTTCTTCAGGGATTCTTTAAAACACAACTGAAAGTGTTGTAATTATTCAGTAATTATCTGAAGTCCTTTTGTATCAGTATAAAAACCTACCCAGGTGAAAATAAAATCAGAGGATCCCAAATGCTCTTAAGAAATCTTCCATTTTATCAGGGATTTTTCTACATTACACAGAACTTCTCTTAACAGTCTATACATAATGACAATAGGGACAGCCGCAACTAAAATAACCAAACTAAGCATTCTTTTTAACAACATAAAAGACAAGTATATAAATTCACTAATATAATAAATTCACAGTTACGATTTTTTTTTTTAGTCTAATTAAATTATTACCCTGCTTCTAATGTGTAGCTTTTCAACTGTACAACATGGGGAAAAAGTCAAGTTCAAGAATGGAAATAAAAATCACAGTATGTTAATGAATTATGTATGAAAATGAAAAACAGAGGGTGTGGCAAGATGTTTGGTTTTTTTTTGCTGTCATCCTATGTTTAAAATATCAAACTGGTTAGAAAAGCTGCTACCACTTTTCTAAATGAGCTGGAATGTTTGAACTTAAACCCAAAAGAAAAAGATCAAAACCCACCGCAACCACTGTAGTTGTTCACAATACTTTCACAGGAAAATCTGTCACCTCATGTGAACTGGAGGATGTTCAACTTAAAGTCTTTTGAGCTATGGTTAACTGTTCACACACTACAAAGTTAAAACAGCTGAAGAAATCACTCCTAGCCTTGAATCAACTCTTTACAAAGAAATAAAGGAATGAATCACCACTGGCAAAGAAACCAAGCAATAAAGGTTTCCCACATTTAAAAAAAAAAAAAAAAAAAAAAATTCCATTAGGGGAGCAGTCCCACTTCCTCCAAATTCAGGTATCTACCACCTTCTATGATGATACAGTTTGAAGTGAACAGACTTCATGTGCACTGCTTTCATGTCCCTGCTACCAAAATGAGTTAGCACCATAACTCTGTGAACCACAAGACTCCTGAAGCCAACTGGCCACCAGAGGCAGAGCTCTGCAGGTGCCTTTCCAGTTGTGCAGATAAGGACAAAGTAAGTCATCAAAACTTGTTATTTTATCTGTTACTTTGTGCAAATTTAAACTAACTTCTTTCCACATTTGAGAAATGTGTTTATAATTAAAACTGGTAGTGTCCTTAAAAGAATTACTTGTACTGTTACACCAACTATCTGTGCTTAGGAACAGGTCGATTTATTCTTTAACCAATTTGGATTTTTTTTCCCTTCGCCTAACAGAATTATCAAAAAACTTTAGGAAACAATCTCCTTTACGAATAATTCAGGCAGATGTTTAAAAGTGTAAACAAAAGAAACGCTTTTATTGTAACAGTCATACATTTAAAAAACGCAGCAAGAAAATTTCAACTGTCATGATAATCTGCAATGACCACAAAGGCCAAAAATATTTGATGTGACAACTTAAGGACAGCAAAAGCAAGTGATGAAAGGTGGTAATTATTATTAGACATGGATAACATAGCACATGCTGTACAATAAAAAGTATTCAATTAGGCACAATTTCATAATATGAACAGAAGTTAAGAGAAAACAATCTTTGATAAATGAAATATCATGGAGTTGACAAAATGAGAACTTACAGCCTTGTCAAGGCAGACAGCAATTTTCATAAACCTTTGACCGAAAATGGTCAGCAGTTAGAAGTAACAGAAAGAGGAATGAGATGGTTGACCTACTGTGGCTAATATTAAAAAGCTACAATTTTAAATTGAACAACTACATCTATTTGTCATGTATAAAAAGAAAGGCTCTCTCAATGTTGTGAGATCTTCTGTACTATAATTTAAAAAAAAACAGGATGTGCAAAGATGTGTAATAGTCAACTGCTCCAGAATTTATTTTTTTAAAAAAAAAGATAAAAAATGACAAACAGAATCTTACTGTTTCATATTTCCATTAACAGTCATCTAGATATCATGAATGGAAAGGAAACAACGCTAAAAATATGATCTCACCATCAGGACAAGAGGGTACAGTGCTCTCATTCACTGCTAGCAGAGTCAAGTTACTCGATAAAATATCGGCATCTCGTTTTAAAAGCTAGCTGGCGATATTAAAGGAAAAGCCGAAAAAAAAAAATTATCACATTGAAACAAGAGTCATTTCTATGTGCATGACAAGAGGATGAGGCAAACTGCCCTCCTATATTCTTTTTACAACAACTCTGTAAAAGATGAATTCCAGTAACAGGGGAGACTGAACAAATGATCATTTCACACACCTCATTCTGTAGTAACACAGAAATCAGACTCCAGAACAACACAAAAAACCACAAGCAAGGTACTCAGTGCCGAACAACGCTCTGGTTAACACGTATCACGTAATATACTCCTTACTTCTATTTCTGCAGACTCCACCCGATTCTCAACAACCTCAATGCACTGCCTCTTCACCGGCGGTTCTTCGCTTATCACAGTTTCTTCAGCAATGTCTGTTGCTGGAACTGTTAATACTGAAAACATATTTGTACATGTATTTACTTCAAACAGTACTTTCATTATAAAAAAATTATATTAATTAAATAATTTTATAACAGCAACAAAATACAGAGACCTTCCCTTAGGAAAACACAGCTATATAGTAAAAGGCATTATAAAATCAGTATGGGGAAAATTTACTAAATATTTTACCTGCTTGTATGCTACTAAAGAATTTTAAAGTTTTATTATTGAGGTTTACAATAGTTATTTGCCACTCTGGAGTATCACTGCCACTTTTCACAGAGGAAAACAGACATGGCTGCAGCAGTTACTAGCTTGTCAATTCCACTTAGGCAGCAGACGATCTTTGTAATGTTTCTTAAGCAAATACTAAATACAGAATTGGGGTTTGATTTTGATTAGTTACGAAACTTAGGTCATTTGAAAATCCAGTAATTATTAACCTTGAAGTAAAAAAAATTTGGAACCTAAAGAAATCCATACTGTAATTTACTCATGCAATTATCTGACAAATAAATGCTGTCACTCTCACTTTAATCACTACCTACACACATTCACACTTTCTGATAACAGTACTTGTTCAGACAGACTGTGAACCAAGCAATTTGTTTCCAGTGTACAACTCTTAAAAGGTCCACACTAGGAATTCTCATGAAGAAACCAGAGAAGGAATGACTTTTGTCAAAACAGTAGTGGCAGAGCATCTTTAAAAGAAACAAACCATAACACATGCACTTCACAAAACAGCACTTATTCCACCAGCAGCCTCCAAAAAGCACACATGGTCCAGCAGGACAATTTGTGTCACCCTGGCTTCACTGGTTCTGCCACTGCTCCTCTAAGACCTCAAGCACCTAAGACTTGGCTTTTATTCTGGTAAGAACATACTCCATGGGAGTTGCACAGCTGACTTCATGCATGACTTCTAAATCCAAGCCTCACCTCCCCACATTATTTCCAGCAAGGTAACAGTGTAAGTATTGGAAGGTGGCTTTTATTTTACTTCATCTTCTAGTTTTCATAACAAGTTTGCAAGAATCAAACTTATTCAAGGCAAAGCAAGTAGTTGTCACTTTTCCCTTAGAATGTCCTCTTTCTCTTCCATATAGTATAATAATTCTTCCATTCTTTTCTCCTAACACAGAAACTCAGCTGATACGTGAGAACTCACTGAACTGCAGTAGCTCACATGTCCGAATCTCTACATTATAAGAATTCAAATTTATTTAAACTGATAGTCACACAAAATTGTTCAAGCGATTTGCACCTAAGAATTTGTTATCATTACTAAAATTAAAACAGTTCCTCAAGCTCAAACTGTGCAAAGTTTCTACTCACCTTGCTGTCCATCTGGCATGGTCACAATGATGGGCTGCCCTATTCCACTGGTTGGAATGGAATGCAGATTACCAAGCTGAATGCCATCTGTAACTATTGTGATAACTTGCTGACCTCCAGAACTGACAACTTGCTGTATAGCACCATCCACAGATTCTGCAGTCACAACTTCTTCTGTGGCCACAACTATCAACAGATTAGTAAAGGAATTAATATCCTTATAAGTTTATATTTATAAGCTAAGTTTTAAGATTTCAAATGTATTTTGGTACAGCCAAGAAAAAAACATGACTTTTAAAATTTGATTCCGTCACTCCCAATTAATGCACTACTACTTGCTGTGTTGTTAATAGGAATCTTCCACCATGCCAACATAAAGCACTTACATTTTGAAATATACGTGCAACTCCGTCCTGATTTATTTTGCTCAGGCTAATATTTTTATTTAGCATGTTTGCTAATAGATACACGCCACTCAAAATTGATGTTTTGGGTTCAGTGTTAACATGGCAGCAAGAACAACAGCTGTTTTTAAGAACACAAATAATTTCTGCATTGTACACAAGGTGGAATAAGTTACACTAACAGCAGAATAAAAAAAAAAGAGAATTAATCTTGAAATATTATCTTGAAACTACTCCTTGGTGCTTTGCCAGGTGTACTTCAGGATCCAGCCCTGATTTCTCAGCTTACCATAATGGTCCTCAAGATAGTGACAGACTGACGGATTTTTGCAGAATCTTAACATTTTTGTCTCTACTACATGTGTACTTCAAACACAACTTTATTTATTATACAAAGCATGAAATAGGACTAAAGGAAAAGTTGTGCAGAGTTGACAACTTTGAAGGAGAAAGATAAAGTTTCAGAAGCAAAATAAACATTGTATGTATGTAATTTACGGGTAAAGCACAAATAAAAAAATCCCATCTCAACTAAATATTTGAAACTCATAACTCAATAAGGAGTACACAGCAGTGAATGCCCACAGTTCTACATCACATCTATAAATCAAGGTAAGAGAAAGGAAAGGCTGCATTCAGAACTATAACACATACCACAGCTTGCACTATACCCCATAATTGGGGTTTTGCACTACCACCCTTATTTTTTAAAATAACGAGACACTGAGACAAAGAATAATTGTGCTACAAGTGTAGCACAATCAAATTTCAAGGATAGTGACTCTGTATTTAATTTGCAATTTGTCAGGGTAAAAGCAAAGCCTTTGATTTAAATAATAGACATTAGAGTGGTTTCTATCTACAGAGATAAAATTAAAACCCTGTAGACTGTGTTGTGATGCTCAAGATGAGAGAAGGTAGATGAAACCCCGAAGCTTTCATCTTTTGCGTTAATTACAACACAGCACACACAGAGAAATCACTCTGTAGTTCAAATAATGACTGCAGTCATTGTCTTTCGAAGGTCTTTATGTTCAGAAATTACCCTCTGATAGCACTGCTTAAATATTCAGAGTGTTTCTTCAGTAGACCAAACTAGTAAGTCCTAAGTGGTCATGTATTGAACTGTATTTGGCTTCCAAGTGCAGGCTCAGCAGTAAGAAAGATCACCATCACAAAAACTCCAAGTTGTGAGAGCCAATATTAGCTGTTGTGGCAAACAGCTTTGATCTTTCAGTTTCAGCTGAAAGCTCAAAAACCCTCAGCTTTTTGGCTTTGTTGAGCCCACAGCTCAACACTGGGCTTTCAGTTCTGGAAGGACACATTACTAGGAGTTCCTTAGACCTTGCAAGAAAAATGAAGTCTCTGTCTACAAAGAAGTTATTCTATATAAAAGGAAAATATCCCTGTAAATATAGTCCTTACTCTTTCCTTCTGTATCTATATCCACACAACCATTAATCACCACTCTACTTTATATGCTGAAGGAAAGCTGAAGCCGTGTAAAACAGCAGCACTGTTATTTTCAAGAATCTCTGCATTTTCTTCTGCAGCATATGGACAGAGAACACCTGCACATACAGCCAGACATGTGCCTACTTTCAACATAAGCACACCAAATACTGCATTCCAAATACACACGTTGAATCAGATTCTTCTCCAATCCAACTGAGTTACATATATTATGCAACACATTTGTGGGTAATGTCCACGTCCTCATATACACTTCATCTGAGTGACTATTTTAAAAATGTATTATTCTATTCAGCTCCAGTGACAGGCACCTTCCTTCCTTTGGTTTTACAAAACAGGTGTGGTTTTAAATGTGAAACATGAGGAACTAGAGGGAAGAGATCAGGGTACAGTTAACTTCAAAAGACAAGAAAAACCTAGACAGAAAAACATCACAGAAGGCAGAACCTAAGTGCTTTGTCGAAGTTTACACAGTCTCAAATACAGGAGGCTAAGTAAAAGGTAAGAGGCAATGCCAGAATTCTCAATTCTACAATTTTCCAAAATATTTATAAACAAATCTTTTATAAGATAAGCACAATCTGAAGACATTTTTGTTGTGGGTTTGTTTTTCTGCCCTCTCTTTCTTGAACTCACAACAAATACACAGGTGACAAAAAGCTGCTTTTGTATGCTTTATGCTTCATAAAATTCTAAAGGAGTATGAACTCAGGAAATAATTTGCAGACAGTAAAATGCTGCAAGATTGTCCACACGGCCACACAAAAATCAAAGCAGAAGAACTGAAATAAACAGGAGGGTTAGATATGATGCACACTGTATTATTGAAGGTGGGAAGATACAGCATTAAGACATCAAGTTTATTCCTCCTTGCCTGTCATCTCCTGCCTCCTCTCCAACAATTTTTATCTTCAGTGGTTTACTGCCATGTACCATAGGTTACTCTGCACCACTGCCAGGGTAGGGCCATGAAACATGAGAACGTTCAGTTAGTTACCAAAGTTGTCTACTGAGTCCTGGATACACATTTAACACTCTGTAATCTCATGCAATCTCTTCTCAAGTTTCTCTCCCACAATTAAATTTGAGTTTCAATGAAATACATTAATTGAAAACATCAGCAGCTTCTTCTGTAATGAAAGGCATTGCATTCTGGCTTTGAATCATCCAGTTCACCTGCAGTATTTAAATATCATAAAATAGTATAGCTGTACTTAAGTACTGCTTTGAGAAGCAGTAAAAGACAAGAACTGTATTAAGAAGAAATCCTGCAGGACTTCAAAATACTTAGAGATTAAAACTGTGCTCTTAATGATGTTAATCTGCAGAGCTGAAGGCTCTGAGAATTTTTAGGTACCAAAGACTTTGGCCACACAAAGTATCTCAGTTCCGCAAAATTTATCATACTGACCGTCCATAACAAAAAAGCAGAATAAACGCATTTCTTCAGAAACACATTCAGAAAAATTGACTACCACAAGCATGAGAAATCCTTGATCAAGAGAGGTTGTTACTCTCCATAGTCATTTCCTGTCACAGGCTCTAGAGTTAGGCTTGTCTTGCTACATATCGCTCATCAGCACTCAAAATCCCAAGTGAAGTTGCAAAAAAGCCTATAGTGCTACATGTTGCTATAATAAATACTAAATAACCAAAAAAAAGCAATCTGGCCTATCATACAACTCCAGTTGCTACAGACATACTGTATTGCCTGAGAAAACTGGGTAACAACATACAAATCAGCACTGGGCAAGTAAAGTATAAATGAAACACTTCACAGATTTCTTTAGAAACCCACCAAAACACCTTTTGGGACTCTCAGAACAAGAGATGTATTCAAAGACAAAAACTATAGATTTGTGTCTCCCAAAGCTAGCTAACAAAGAATTAACATAGCACTTGGCCTCCCAAGTGCTACTTCTACCAGATTATTTATGCATTGGTAAGAAATTAACATATCCCATAATTGGATAATATGATCTAGAACAGAAGTTTAGTGGCATCCTCCTATAAAGTAACTTTGAATAATTCAGAAGCTTTTGATCACAGTGTAATTTATTTTAGACGGTATTACAACTTGCTTAAAAGGAGGTCTTTTCCTTACTTAAAGCTGTCAGAGGTAATGACTACTCTTTACAATCCACCCTGATGCTGCAGAGACTCCTGACTGCCATTTCTTTCTTCACTTTGCACACTGTACTGAACCAAAGTGAAAAAGTACACAAAGCAAACACACTGTTCAGAAATAATGGAGAAGGATATCCAGGGTGACTTGCTGAAGCCTCGACCAATGGGTTTGTGGGGTTATTTTTCAGACAAAGCAGTAACTGGCAAAGATCCCCAGGGCAAGGCTTAAGTGAGGGAGTTTATGTTAAGAAAGAAGAATGCAAAACTTAGGAACTACAGGCAATGGAACTCCTTGTGCCTTTCCAGGTTCTTGTCATGCCCTTACGGAATAAGGGCGTGCATACAGCTGCAGTGAAGGATGCAGGCTGCTTCCTCCTAGAACAACAATGCATTGCTAGGCTTCCATCTACCTGAGGTTTACCTGACATGCCATGAGTGCACCTGAAGTGGTACCTGAAGTACCAGCGTGAAGGGGTCACACTAATCACTACACACTGTTATAAATGCAAGTAGAGTGCTTCCACATTGAGAAGAAAACCCATAGACATTATAATGGGCAAACTGCACGTCAAGACCACCAAATATTCCTGTGCCTTTAGCACAAAAGATTAAGAAAAGTGCTGACAAAGTATATGCAAACAACACTGGAGGTAATTTCTCAATATTTAACAGAAGGAATCAATAAAACAAAGCATTATCCCACCAAACTAGATGTAGACAAAGATGTAAATTCATAGAATCATAGAATCATT